TACAGAGAGACGTAGAAACAGAGAGAGAGGTCTTCCATCTGCTGGTTCACTCCCCAAATGGCTACAATGGCCGGAGCTGAGCAGATCTGAAGTCAGGAGCCAGGAGCTTCTTCTGGGCCTTCCATGTGGGTGCAGGGGCACAAGGACTTGGGCCATCTTGTACTGCTTTCCCAGGCCATAGCAGAGAGCTGGATCAGAAGAGGAGCAGCAGGACTAGAACTGGTGCCCATATGGGATGCCAGCACTTCAGGATGGGGATTTAACCCGCTGTGCCACAGCGCCAGCCCCATAGATTTTAATTTTTTATTTTCAGGTATTGTTTTATGTGTTCTGGATATGAGGTCTTTGTCAAATATACTTACTACAAACATTCTCTCATACTGTTGTATGTATCAGTATTGTATTATTTAAAAACACATTGAGTGAAAGCATCTAGTCCACAAATTGAATGTGGTACTTTTATATGAAATTCCAAAACAGGCAAAACTAAGCTATGGTCCAGAAACCTAAATAATGCTTGCAGTGGTGGCATGGGGTTGACTGGAAAGAGGCAAAAATGGAACTTCCCAGGATAATGGAAACACTTTGCATCTTAGTTAGGAAGGCCAATGCAAGGATTATTCTTCTAGTAAAATTCACTGAGATACTTAAAATCTGTGCATTGTTTGTGTACATAAATGAAATCTTATTTAGTAAAAGAAGGAAAGAAAACTATGGTCAACTTTGACCCTACCAATAGGTGAATTACTGGTTGTTATAGTAATAATATCAAAACCCTAAAAAGAGTACCTCATAATTATATTCCAGTTAGTTACAAACATCTCACATTAACATCTATACCCCATACCACACACACTCTAGCATAAAAAGAAAATTCTAGCAAAAAAACACTTAATGCCTAAAATAGTTAAGGTCAAACATTTTACTTCTAAATATTTAATACTGTTTCACAAAAAAAAGTACTAAACAGTGCAACATTCCTCACTTCATTTTTTATCAACAGAGAAAATAATGCTGAAACTGTACAATATCAAAACACAACATATGTGTGGACCAGCTGTTAGGAGAAGATAATACCATTTGCTCCCTAACTACTTCACAGCAATGTCTTCAAGATTAATGAGATAATGGACCAAAGTCCTTTTTAGTGGGTAAACTACTTACTGCGGGTAATTTGGGTACTTTAGGGCACAGTAAATCCATCAGGCCAGCAGTATGCAATTACTACACTAAAGCAAACGGGCAAACTTAAAAATTTATATTCTGATAATAAAGTTTTTAAATATTCTGAACGGTGTTTTCTGAAGCATAAATTTATACTTGAAACACACTTTAATTCCTTTATTAAAAAAACCAGAAGGCGTCTAACTTGTGAGTCAATGGTAAAGTTCCTCTTTCCTTTAACATTTATGAGTTTATCATTATACTAGGCACCCAAGGATAAAGAAAGAAAAGATGCAGTCACTGTCCTCAAGAAGCTCGGAATTTAGAGAGGAAAACACACAAATAAATATCTAAAATGTGATATGATGCTTTCTAAAAATCCTTACATAGCTGGCACTACAGAAATATCTGGAGCAGGCACATAATCCAGCACAGGGGTAGGGACCTGTGTGACAGAGAAGTGGACCTCAGGGATAGGGCCCTGAGAAGCTGAACGACTCCAGCTGGCAGTTGGTCCAAATACAGGATCGAGGGACTGGGCAGAGAGTCCCTGGGGCTGGACCAACAGATGCAGAGAAAGGTAGAAAGCCAAGGAGGCACAGGGCACTGCGCAACACCAGCAGCACCAGGGCAGGGCAGGAGACGCAAATGGAGAGGCCGGGGGCAGACTGGAAAGAGCCTTACATACAGTAAGGAGTCAAACACATGCATCTGGGAGTCTGTAAGACTCAAGACAGACACTGAAATAGTCACCCAGGGAGGTGCCCAGGGCACAGACAGCAGAAGACTGTTAGAGAAATCCTGACGGTCAGGACAGGGAGAAAAGACAGGCAAGAGACTCGGGCAGGAGCAGCAGCTGTGAGATGATGGCAAACAGAGGAAGTGAAGCCCACAAAGACCCTAGTTTCCTTGTCTGGCTGTGAAGGGAAGAGAGGACCGCAGCAGGCAGGGTGGAAGAATGGTGGGGGAAGGGGAGTTCATTGCTGTTGGCTCAGTGTTTCTTTTTTTTCTTAAAGATTTTATTTATTCAAAGGCAGCCTTACATTGACTGGGAAAGAGATAGAGAGACAGAGAAATCTTCGATCCCTTGGTTCACTCCCAAAATGGTTGCAATGCCCAGGGCTGTGCTAGACCAAAGCCAGCAGCTTGGAACTTCTTCCAGGTTTCTCAAATGGGTGCAGGGGCCCAAGTACTTTGGTCATCTTTCACTGCTTTCCCGGGCACATTAGCAGGAAGCTGGATCAGAAGCAGAGCAATCAGGACTCAAACCGGTGCCCACGTGGGATGCCAGGAGTGCAGGCAGCGGCTTTACTTGCTATGCCGCAACACTGGCCCCTAATTTTTTTTTGTAATTTTCATTTAATTTTGTTTTGAGAGTTTTTATTACTTATATATTAAGACTAGAAATGCTGGGAAAGATTTTTAAAAACCAGGAATTCATTGGTAAAGATACCAAATGGCAGAGAAGGAAGGGATAAAAAAGTTATTAAGAGGTAATGAGGCCTGGGACACCTCTTCCACTGAGAAAGAAGAGAAGGCACAAGGGTGTTGAGACAGCAGAGAGTGTATAGGCAGCGGGAAGGGAGCAGAGGGAATGCAGGTTCTCATATTGGTTCCATGAGAGCTTATTTCTAAAGAACCAGGATAGCTAAGGTGGCTTCTGGTTTCCCAAATATTGCTTTAAAGAAAGAGAGTATACTTTTATCCACCTAGACTAAGCATAAAAGTGAAATCCAAATACTCATACATTTCAAACATCTCACTGAATGGTTTATCTGCAATAACATAAGGATGGGTCACAACTCTTTAAAATTAAAAGCAATTTAATTTTATTAAAATTAGAATCCTCTACTCTACAGATTACAATAATCACTCAGAAGCAGTGAAACTAGTATATAACAACACAGCATGAAAAAAAGGTCTATTAGAAAACACAAAATTAAACAGAATTATGAATTCTCGAGATTTTCAAGGAGAGAAAATCTCTCTACAAAAAAGTCACATTTCTTCCAATCACATAACAGAGGCTAAGGTCACAGTTGTAAGAACTGTTATTTTTATTTATACTGAACCAACGTATGCATGAAAGCTGGTTCCCAAATTGTGCACAACACAGACTACCAACTGTGTGTATTCACTGAAAAATTGACTTCAAACCCCAATGTGCTTGCTATTTTCAACCCCTCCATCTCATCTACCTGTAAGAAATCACTGCTTTTAGTATATTCTGTGTTGGCCTCTCAAAAAACCATGACATACCTACACAAGGGCAGCCCCAAGCCACTACTAATGAATGAATACCAAATAAAACACTTTTGCCATAGTGATATTATCCCTAAAGAAATTTAAGAGTGCTAAGCAAAGGTTTTTGAAGGTTTATTTATTTATTTATTTGAAATGCAGAGCAACAGAGAGAGACCGGGGGTGGGGGGGATTGTGGTATGGAGTGAGAAAGAGAAATTGGTCTCCTACCCTCTGATTCATTCCCCAAATGGATGCCAACAGCCAGGACTGGGCCAAAAACTCTATCAGGGTCTCCTACATGGATGGCAGGCACCCAAGTACTTGGACCATCATCCACTGCCTTCCCAGGTGTGTTAGCAGGAAGCTGGATCAAAAGCAGAGCAGCCAGGACTAGAAGCAACACTCCAATATGGGATGCCAGTGTCACAGAGAGCTGATGAACTCACTGTGCTAGCTCCTAAAAAATTTTTTTAAGATTTTTTTTTGACAGGTAGAGTTACAGACAGTGAAAGGGAGAGACAGAGAGAAAGGTCTTCCTTCCGTTGGTTCACCCCCCCTCCCCCAAATGGCCACTATGGCTGGAGCTATGCCAATCCAAAACCAGGAGCCAGGTGCTTCTTCCTGGTCTCCGACGCGGGTGCAGGTGCCCAAGCACTTAGGCCATTCTCCACTGCCTTCCCGGCCATAGCAGAGAGCTGGACTAGAACCCGGCGCCCATATGGGATGCCAGCACCACAAGGCGGAGGATTTATCAAGTGAGCCACAGCGCCAGCCCTCCTAAAACTTTTAATGTAAGAATGGTTCTTAAAAAAAATAAGGTAACTGGGGACAAATTCATAATGTATTCTCTAAAATCTATTAAAATTTTTAAATAAAATAAGCAATATAAATAGCAATGATATTGGCTACCACTGAGTAAATGTTTAAGGGAGTGGACAGAGAGCTAAATATTCATGTTAACACACACACACGAACAGGATTTATCTAGCATGTGTGTCCAGTTGTTCACGGCTATGGCAATCCTCTGTCTGAGCTCTATCACGTAAGGGATTTGACAGATTAAAAAGCTGTTCAAATGAAAGGTTTTTCTCCAAACCACAGAGAACTCAGGAAACAGAAGGAAGAAAAGGGTCCAGGTCTTTTCCACACTCTGCTGTCTTCCAGGGCTGCTGAAGGGTTCCCATCCCTCCTGCACCCCACCAAACCCACAGAGAGCCATACAGGGGCAATCCCAACTCCCTCCACAGAAAGGACAAGGAGAGGAGAAACCCTGTCCGAAGGGCTGCCCAGCAGCTCCTGATCTCCACAGGCCACCGACCCACTCTGTAGATAACTCATCCCCACTAGGCACACAAGAGGACGGACAGGTGGGCAGGTGGACAGGCAGACTGCTCTTTCCTCTCTGCCTTCGTAAGAGCAATTCAATTGAACACATAGGCCTCAGATATCTAAATGGGGTTTTCTGTCACCAAGAAAGTGGGGTTTTAAAATTAGGAAGTCCACTTTGTGAAATGCTCAGCCTTTTGTATGTCTGTAGAGTTTTGAGGATTACTTCTCTGCTCTGTTTGCTTTCACCAAGAGAGAAAACTTACTGTTGATGTGATCGATGTAGTAGACACCAATCTGAGGGTCAAGCCCCGCTTCCCATCCCCACGGCAGCTCATCCCCAACACAATCAGCAAATGACAAGGGCTTCGTTAACCTACAACAAACCAGAAGAAACACACCGTCAAACCACACAGGTCAAACATCAGCACCCTAACCACAAGTTAGGTATCCGGGTTTTATTTCCTCTATTTCTTGATGGTTTCCAGGGTTTACACCACTACATTTGAAACCTTAAAACAAGGACAGGATATATGTGAATATTCATAAAAGTAGAATAAGTCATAACACGCTCTTGCGAATTCACAGCCTAAGACTGGGAGACAGACCTCTACATAAGATAATCATCTTCATCAGGGGAAACTCCTAGCTGACAGCAAGGCCTGTGCTCTGGCTCCAGCTCTGTGGCAACACGGCTCTCCCATGGAAAAGGAAAATCCAGAAAACCCATCCCGCAATTCCAAGGCTGGCATCACGGAAACACCGCCAGCGCCTCTGAGACGGGAATACGCACCAGGCTGCACTCACTTCCAGTCTGGATGCCCTTTTAGGAAAGCAACTGAACATTGACTGTGGGGTCTCCTTGAGGCAAAGGCCTAACGTCTTATTTTAGAAGTATCTTGTACACTGAGTTACTCAGAATTTGTAATGGAACCAAACACACAAAGTACTCATATACAAATAGGACCTCACCTTTTTAGACACATTCTCTAGGACTGTTTTCTCTTTAATACTAATGGAGAGGGACTGGCACTGTGATGGCAGGTAGAACAGCTGCCTATGGCACTAGTATCCTATATGGGCACCATTTCGGGTCCTGGCTGCTCCACTTCCAATCCAGCTCCCCGCTAATGTGCCTAGGAAAGCAGTGGAAGAGGGTCCAAGCGCTTGGGCCCCCTATACTCCATGAGACACCTGGAAGCAGCTCCTGGCTTTGTGGGGTGAACCAATGGATGGAAGATCTCTTCTTCTCTCCCTCTGTCTCTCTGTAACTCCGTCTTTCAAGTGAATAAATAAATCTTAAAAAGCAAAACAAAACAAGTGGAGAAAAAAAACATAGTTTCCTGAGCAGAGTACAGGTTTTAGACTTAATTACAGATTGTTTTCTTTTCCTTTGCTTCCTTCATTTTTGCTTTTGAGATTTTCCATGGCCAAGATACTACAGACTAGTGCGTGCCTTTTGGCAGGGTAGCCACCATCAGTCCACATCACCTTCTAATTTAGCACAGCACCATGTGCAGGGTTCTTACAAAGGACACCTCCTGGGACCCCTTTACACCCATGCTAATGAACACCAAAGATGTCACAGCTCCTCTGAAATTCAGGTCCTTGACAGAATCACATCCTTCAGCGGAACAACAAAGTGTGCCATCAATCCTTCAGAATGCTGGGAGAATGACATGAAAAGGAAGGAAATCCTTTATTCCCAGGGCTAGCCTGCAACGGCCCTCCAAGGATGCAGAACACCGAAGGAAAGGAAGGGTCTCCTTTGCTCTCAACCTTCCTATAGCACGAAGTCTCGTCGTGGAGATGGCTCCAAACAGGGGCTTTGGAAACCAGCCAGGCTGACAGCAGCAGTAATGAAAGCAACCAGCTCTGCCACTGACTCGCTGAGAGACCAGCGCTTGGCACCCCTCTCTCCATTTCCTCCTCTGTTAAATAGTGATCACACCCCCCCCCCCAACAAACACACACACACACACACACACACACACACACACATTCTTTCCCTGCAATTCAACCACCTCCTGAGATTACTGTGAGGATAAAAAGGAATCAGCTTGGACGAGTGTCTAGCACATGGTGAGTACATGATTATTACCACAAGCATGACTTTCGAATTCTCTCACTTACTCTTTGCAGAAGCCATGTCAGGCAGCACCGCACAGAATAGCAGTTCTCAAAGTATAACCCATGACTGCAACATCTGGGAACTCATAAGAAATTCAAATTCTTGGACCAGACCTAGAAAACTAGAAACTCTGAGGTTCAGCAAAATATGCTCTCCAGGGAATTCTGCTGCACATCACAGTTTGGGAACCACAGGGTCAGCAGTTCCAGAGCTGAAATTTGGCATCAGAGAGATCAGGGTTCAAATCCTTGTTGTGCCACTTATTGTACAACCTTCGTCAAGTTACTGGCTTGAAAAGCCCCCACTCTCTAACCTGTTTTTTACAAGTTGGGAGCATGGGGAGACTGAAAAATTTAAATTAGAATTAAATAGTATAATGGCTGACAAATGATGATCTTCAATATATGTCAGATAAGCAAAGTGAATCTTAAACATGCAAAAGCATGTGCTCAAATATGGCGTGCTGCATTATTCTGTAAAGAGTCAACTTGAATTCAATCTAAGTAAATACTTTCTCATATCACAAATTGACCCCATAAGGATTCAGCTACCACACTAATCCCCATGACATAAGGAGTGGCCTTGTCTGCAGGCCTGGTCCCTCCAACCACCTCAATGAAGCCGACCAGATAAAGCTCCAGAGCCATGCTGCCCTGTGCACGATTCTGTTTGAAGACCTTCTCTCTCTTTTTTTTTTTTTAATTTTTTTTTAAAGATTTATTTATTTATTCAAAAGTCAGAGATGCACAGAGAAAGGAGAGGCAGAGAGAGATCTTCAATCTGCTGGCTCACTCTCCAATTGGCCGCAATTGGAGCTGTGCTGATCCGAAGCTAGGAGCCAGGAGTTTTTTCCTATGGGATTCCATATGGGATGCCGGCACCACAGGCACCTTTACCCGCTAAGCCACAGAGTCAGCCCTCTATGGCTCTCTCTCTTTAAGGCTCTTAGCAATGCTGTCTATACAGCACAGCCTCCTAAAAAAATGAAGAATAAGGTGAGCCGAAGTGACAAACCAGAGACACTAAACAAGTTTTACCCTAGTACCAAATCAACATGCCTAAGTATGAATACTGGGGCCGGCGCTGTGGCATAGTGGGTAAAGCTGCCACCTGCAGAGCTGGCATCCCATATGGTCGCTGGTTTGAGTTCTGGCAGCTCCACTTCCTATCCAGTTCTCTGCTATGGCCTAGGAAAGCAGTACAAGACAGCCTAAGTCCTTGGGCCCCTGTAGCCACGTGGGAGACCCAGAAGAAGCTCCTGGCTCCTGGCTTCGGATCAGCGCAGCTCCAGCCGTTATGGCCATTTGGGGAATGAACCAGCAGATGGACGACCTCTCTCTCTCTGCCTCTCCTTCTCTCTCTGTGTAACTCTTGCAAGTAAAATAAATCTTTTTTTTTTTAAAGCATGAATATTATAAGAATGTACTACTCTTAGAAGTTATAAAAGCTTCAGAGCACCTGTTACTATTAAAAATTATACTAACTTGATTACATCTGGAAAGAATTCAGCTTTGCCCATGAACTGTCCAATGGATAATAAGCATTTAATTAACTGTCATTGTTCTAAGGCTAGAATTACACCTATAACTACATATGTAGTTATGAGTTCAGTGAAAAGTTCAGACACTGCCATTTCAAAAAAATACTAATATATTTATTTGCAGTGCCATTTCAAAAATCAACAATATTTTCAATATTTGGATAATTATCTTTCACCTGTACTATATTAATAAGTAAAACCACTAAATACATATGTTTAAATATAATGTTAGGATTAAATTCTCACCCAAATTAAAATCATAAGTAGAATAACATCCTCAGGTACCAAACAAAATCAAGCACCCACCCATGCTGCTATCCTGGCAAAGGGAAAATATGACTATGATATAGGAATTGTTTTTTCTCTCTCAGTCTATAAATAACTCAAGCCCTCCCCACCCCAAAAAGGCCTTTCCTCAAACCTCCGGCTCCTCCTTTGGCCTTCACTTCCTAATTCTAACCTACACAGTGTGACTCTGGAGGACTCTGAGAGGCTGTCGAACCGCCCTTCTCCACCTAACACCCACTTCTACACACCCTTGAAAGGCAACATCTGTGAGTGGGTCACCTTTGAAAGGGCACTTTGCTCAGGCTACAGGCTTTGGGATCCATATGTATTATTTGTAAAAGCCTCAGTGCTCATAATAGCCTATGTCTTTTTAAATGTCCATTTTTACATAATCACACTAATATAAAACATTCACTGAATACACTCTATCATATATATTTATGTTAAACCATCATAGAATTCTGCACAGTAGATACAAGTATTATCTCCACTTGAATAGCAGTGCAAGAGAAACAAACTTATTCATAATCAAACAAGTACATGCAGGTCAATACGTGTATTACAGGCAGTCATGGCCGCATGCTCTGCTTGCTATGCATTCACGCTACAGAACTGCATTCAGAAGGCTCTGACGAAGTAACAGTGATGTGCAGGACGGGCATTCAGACTAACACTGGCACACCTGCATCTCCTATCAGAACACCTTGCTTCAAGTTCTCGCTCCACTCCTAAGTCCAGCTTCCTGCTACTACACACCCTGGGAGGTGGCAGGTAATGAATCAAGTGGTTTGTTCGCTGTTCCCACATGGGAGACCTGGATTGAGTTCCCAGCTCCTGGCTTCCCCTTGGCCCAGCCTGGTAATTATGGGCACTTGGGGAGTGAACCAGTGGATGAAAGCGGTCCTTCTCAGCCATTCAAATAAGAAGTATCTTTAAAAAAAAAAAAAAATTTGTAAAAGAAGGTCCAATCACAAATAAAAGGAAAAATGTATCAAGGGAATACAACTCTTAAGACCTTTAAATATTTGATAAAAGATCAAAAATGTTTTTTAAAAATATCTCTTTTCTACATGATTTGTAAACTAGTCAAATAGTAATTCTAAATCAAGATATAAAATTCCTGCCTGCACTTGTTAAACAAGGAGTTATAAAATGATTCCAACTTAAGCGCTCACACTGACTATTCAAGGTAGAACAACTGGAACCAGTGAGCCGAGGCTCTCCCACGAGGGCTCTTCAACATGGAACCAACCAGAGAGTGTGGGCTTACACAAGTGCTCTCTACCCCAGGCGCACACTTCAGTGTGAAGGGCTTACTAAAGTGCAAATTTCAGGGTGCAGCCCCAGGATATCTGGGCTGAGGCCCGAGAACACATCTCTCTGACAAGTTTTCAGGTGATGCTGATGCTGCTGGGCC